TCTTGATATAGTCACAACCTTGATATAATCACACTATTTTTTAACTCAAGCTAATATAAAAACATACACAATTTGACTTTTATATAGTCACAACTTTTTATAATCACAAGATTCTTGTTTCCCAAGCTGGTGATTATATCAAGGTTAGACCGTATATATTAAATTTTTAAAAAATTAGATCAAAACAATTTTTATTATATAAAATTTTATAAATTTTTTTAAAAAACCCCTACAATCTAAAGGATATAATTTTTTAGACTTTGGTACAGGCTTAAATATGCTATTAATACTGTTTTTACTTTTTTTTTTTTTTCTTTTTTGTTTTTTCATTTTTTTTCATTTTTGTGTCTTGACTTTATAATATTTTTCTTTGCCTTATGCCTCTTGAGAAAAAAAAAAATTAGAAGAGAAAGTTGGCAGTTTTGATGGGCCATAAAAACTATCTGTTGAAATATTAATATACTCAGGCAGGGTAAATTAATATGGAGATAAATTTTTATTATAGCAGATTGAAACACAGGTACACAAGATGTAATCAGGTTAGCTGACAATTGTAGTTTTAGGTAGTGAAAGGTTATACTTTTCATAAATATTTTTAGTCCTAGAGTGATTAATAAAGCTTAACAAAGTAATTGGCAAGATTGCCAAATTGAAAAAAAAAAATTAATTAAATGATTAAGAAATTTTGGGCAGTTCTAATTTCTATTTATAAATACTTTATCTATAAATATCAAAAATATCTAGTAAAAAAATTGGGTATCAACATCACAATTACAATATTTCAAAAGCTAGCTAAGAAATTAATATCATTATTCTAAGTAAAAAAAGTTCTACACACCCATATTAATCTAAATTATACTTCTAATACTAACTCTTGCTTTAACTTATAACAGCACTCTAACCTAGCGAACTATTAAAAAATAAATATGTTGAACACCAGTGGTGTGATTTAGTGTTATTGAAAAATAAACAAAAAATTAAACATATGTATTAAGCTTAAATCTTAATAATAAAGAACTTGTGTATTAATGTACCGTAAAAGCGCGAAATAACGCTCAGAGGCATTAATTTGAAAATTAGATACTCCTAAAATAGTCGCAAAACTTTGAAGAGCCATTGCGGGTAACTACTAGAACATTTTAATGATTTTGTTACCGTTAGAATCGTCTAAATCTGAAGAGTAACTTTTGTTAATGCCAAAAAAAGATGTTTACTTAATGCCAAACCCAATTTCGGAACACTTTTTAATTATTATTATAATAAATACTATTTATATAATTAGAGGTGAGAATTCAACCTTTATTTCGAAATACGCACATGCGCGTACTCGAAATAACGTGCAGGTAGGCGTTATTTCGTGCTTGTACGGTAAGTAAATCTTTTGAATATGACTCTGAGAATTACTTTTAAAATTTTATCAATATGTAATAGTCATTTTTGATCAACAAAAATGACGCTAAATTTATTGCAATAAAAAAACAATACTTGGTAATTATCAAAGCAATTTTTCAAAACTCTCTAGAGGCCCTGCGCCGAGGTAGTTATTCATAGGGTTCCAACCCGGTTTGAAAATCTCCAACCGTGGTCCATCGGGTGAGAACCAGTTGGTAACTGATTACCCAAAATTATGATCCGGTTGATCGGTTTGACGGTTATAATATTAACCAATCATATTACTAGCTTTGTTATACAAAATATATATTTGGCCGGCCAAATTGCCAAGTGATAACACTGTGTTAATAGCTTTTATATTATTAAATAAAAAATTAAAATAAATAAATTTGTATTTCCAACGAGGAGCAATCGTAAATGAAGAAAAATAAAACTTCGAGCTTTCAATTTAGTACTTATTATTTACCGGATTTGCCTTTAAAAACTTGATAGTAAACATATATGGCACTTAATTACTGATCGGATTTTTCACACAGATAATCATGATAAACTTGAAAACCCAAAGTTTCATTTTCTCTTTGCCCCATACATTCTGGGTTCATACATTTAATTATTTTTTATCTCAGTTGTAACTTATTTTTTTTTTTTTCAATATCTTATTACATATTATATTGTTTGTTCATTCGTGTTTATCAATACCGTCGATAGTTACGACATATGGATTTTAATTCACCCTTCGGAAGAACCCTAGTCCGGGTCATTTTTGTTGCAAAAATCGATCATCATGCGAATCGAGTTACCTTAACGGTTAAGGTTAAGCACGGACATCCTGCAGATTATCATAATTGATCCATAACCTATTTCTGTATTTTGAATATATATCACAATATATGAGAGACGCATGTTCAAATGGTTGACCTAAGAATTCCGCGTTTTTATATGTTTATAATGATTTATTCGCTATTTATATTAATATAATAAAATAAACATCCCTGGCTCTAGCATAACACAAGTGTTGCGCGTAACAATTTATATACGTATCAAAACCCTATTTGTGTAATATGACTTCATTAGAAAGTGCCGATCAAAAGATCGGAGTCTAATATAAAAAATTCATCCTGTTCAATGACGGTGTGTTGCATATTTTGGTAATTATTTTGAACTCGGACCAATTTCACTAAATAATTGTCCATTTATGTAATGCAGAAATCAATGTGATACAGAGAAAATGCACTCTATAGCGATAGCGATAGCGATAGGGACCAAACGTGCATTTAAAAAAATAAAAAAGTACACTTATAGAGGTCAAGTATATTTAACCGGAATTTGAGAGTGCATTTAGAGAGGTGTGCTGTGCTTAGGGAGATTTCTATGTAATATGATATATATACATTCATTAATCTGTGTGGCATTCTCAATTTCCCTGCGAGTATTCTATATAAGTCATGATCACTGACTTTATGCATGAATGTAGTGAATGTAGATCACTTAAACTGAACCAGGAAGTACCGAAAACCAATCCAAACCGACAGATATCTCAGTTGTATATTTTTTGTCGTATTTAGAGATGTCAATAGTTACAAGTCGGTCACAACCGATCAGAAGCAAATTATTAGATTTAATATGATTTGTTTGTTATAGGTTATTAATTAAACATTATTCATGATAATGAATCATTATCATGATAAGTTTAATTAATAAAATCCGCAATTAATTTCTGATCGTTGTGACTAACTTGTAATCGTTGACATCTTTAAATGTGTTTGAGATTAGGGTAAGGGATAGTATTATTAGCATTACAATGTTCCACTACGTATCATCGTGGAGCTTGAAATTATGCTGTGACATTGACATCGATCCAATGTAATGTATAACGATAACTGCAGCTAAACTGAATTCATGTAATATCGCAAAATAAACTTAAATTTATTAATGTGAAATTTTTTAAATAACAGATTAAACTAATTAAGTTTAGTGCCATCCCTTTGAACTGCTTACCGTTACTGCAGGTCATTTATCATCACTGCCAATGTAACCGATAATTCAATTATAGGTCAATTTACGGGTAATTTTCCTGTAAAACAATGTGAATCTTTCCCGATAGTTTTTTTACATAGTATATATTTTCATTTATCTATAAACAAATTTGTATTATATAAATATTTGATTGGTCATAGTACCCTGATTTAAGCAAGTGATTTCTAAAAAAAGTAATTTCTTTATCCTATAAATGACAACGTATGTACTTCGTTACAAAATTATACAGGGAATAACATTAATTTTTTTTTTACCCTGTTGAAGACTTTTCCGAGGTATTTCAAGATTTTGTATTCTAATTAACTTATTTTCATTAATATAAGTATAACGCGATAATCTATATACAGTAAATGCACTCTATAAGATCCAAAATTTCAACGTGCATTTAGAGAACGATTAGAAAAAGTGCATTTAGTGCATTTGTAAAAGTCAAGCAAATATTTGGATCAGAATTTAAGAGTGCATTTTAGAGAGATTGTTCATTTAGAGAGGGTGCGTTTAGAGGGTTCATTGAGGAGTTTTAACTTATATTTTCGGAAATTAGTAAATTTTATTGTTAGTTTATCGGCTTCTTTTTTTTAAGTGATACCTGGTCAGTTCTTTATTGATAGATATATTACAGCATGTATAGTATATGCTAAGCTATCTACAGAACTTGTGACTAGGGCTACCTAGACTCATTGATCGTTATCTTATTCATGTAATTAATATATATAGTATTGATTTACAAAATAATTGGGAATGAACCACTCACATTATTTTTGTTCATCTTTTTTTGGTTCTTTGTCTTAACTTTGTAGCAACTCTGATTACAAATTATATAATAAAGTTTATTGAGCGTGGTTTATATAACGCGTGAAGTTGATCTTGAAAACATTTTTTTTTTTGTTCTTTATCGCTGTTATTATTACTATTATTATATATTATTTTAAAAAATATTATAATAGTTTTTTTTTGCGAATTCATCTTCCCTAACATAAATTTTATAATTTATGTCTAGCTTTTTTGTTAATATGGGATCCAAGCATTCCAAATATCCTAAATTAATACATAAGATTAACAAAGCTAGTGATGACAAAAGACAAAATGCTGAATGCCCTCAATTAGCTAAACAAGATGACCTATACATAGATAGAATGCAAGTATTACATCACGTCATGAGATGTGTTTGCAATGGGAACTTTGAAGCTCCATTAAATGAACAATTGAAAGAAGGTGGTGTTGTAGTATTAGATTTCTGGTGGGTTTATCCGCAATTGAATGACATGTTAATATTTCGTGAATGAATATAATAAAATTCATTTATCCCTAACGATTTGTATTTTTGTTAGTTGTGGCACAGGTAAATCATATTACTTTGGATACAATTAATTTAACGTTACAATTTTAACATTTACGTAATTTTTGAAAAAAAAATCAAGCAACGTGGCTATCTGAGATGGCCTCCGATTTTCAAAATTCGACCTTTGTAGGAATAGAAAAGGTCTTAATATACCCTGAACACAAACCAAAAAATGTTAGAATAGTTCAAGCTGATGTTTTAGAAAAATTTCCATTCCCAGGTACTAAAATAAAAACTTTCGTATATGCTATGTATGTCAAAAATTTTTATGGTAAATGCTAAAATTATATTTAAATTTGATTTTATCATAGATAATACGTTCGATTTCATTTATTCCCGACTAAATATCTTATCATTCAGTGATGCACAATGGAGAAATCATTTGATTAAAGGTAAATATAAAAATTCTCATTCATTACGTATGTAAATCTTTCTTAAAGATTAATCAATAAAAATATAAAGAATTTGTAAGAGTTCTTAAGCCTGGTGGTTACTTAGAGTGTACCGATGGTGATTTGATACCAGATAATCCCGGTGTTATTGTAGAACAATTGCGCGTTGCTAGTAAGTTCTACACACTGTTTATTGTGATTGTAATGCTTTTTTTATACATTTGTCAACATTATCAACCGTTTTGTTTATTTAGTTGAAAAGATATTAATCCAGGCCGGTCGGAATCCCTCCCTTACTCAAAAATTTCATGAAGTTATAGAATCCCAGCCACAAATGAGTAAGGTCATTCAAATGGAATCCTTCATGCCTATAGGACCGTGGGGAGGCCAAATAGGTATAAATGTAACTCAAAAATTTATTAGTCTTATCATAAATATAAATGAAACTCACTTCATTTTTGTTCTGCACTTTGTCCCAATTATCTTTATTCTTCTAAAAAGGTGAACTTGGTCTGTCTATAATGCTGCATATGATGACAGGGTTACAAATAGGAATAATGCATTACATGAAGCTTAATAAAAAAAACATAGATCAAC